CAGGAGGATGGGTGGGGGCGGGGTGGGGGGCACGAGGAGGAGGAGGTGGCCGGGGGAGGGGGGGGCTCTCCCCCGTCCTCCCCGGCCAACCAGCTGAAAGGCTCGCCTGCAGGTTTTCTCGGACCAGTGCCTGGCGACGCAGGCCTCCTCCTGTTTCTTTTATTTTGAGATGTCTGAACTGTTTTCCCGCCCAAAGACGCTGTCAAAGAGAGTGGCAGAAAAGGCACAGGGTTGCTCTCTCCGTGTTGGGGGGGTTCCTGGAGATGTGGCGGAGGGGGGGTGGAGGCTAGGGAGGGTGAGGTTGGGGGCCGGGAGGACCCTCAGCGGGAGGGCACGAGGCCGTCGTCGAGGCCGCCCTCCAGAGGAGCGGTTTTCCGCAGGGGAGCTGATCTCTGCCGTCTGGGGAGGAGTCGTCATTCCGGGAGGTCTCACCAGCCCCGCCTGGAAGCCGGCAATCCATGAAGCCGGCAATCCATGAAATTGCTGAGCGGTCGGGTTAGAACGGATAAAAGGAAGTCCTTCTTCACCCAAAGAGTGATTAACGCATGGAATTCCCTGCCAGAGGAAGTGGTGGCGGCTACAAGCATGGACGGCTTCAAAAGGGAATTAGATAAGCATATGGAGCAGAGGTCCATCAGTGGCTATTAGCCACAAGGTACAGATAGGGACTCTGGGGCAAGTGATGCTCTGTCTTCTTGGTGCTTGGGGGGTGGGGTCAACAGTGGGAGGGCTTCTAATGTCCTGGCCCCACTGGTGGACCTCCTGAGGGCACCTGGTATTTCTGGCCACTCTGTGACCCAGAGTGTTGGACTGGATGGGCCTTTGGCCTGATCCAACATTGGCGTCTCTTATGTTCTTATGTTCTTATGTAACCCTAAAAAAAGAGCCAGGGGATCCAAACTGGAGAGCAGGAGACGACGCGCCGGTTGCAACTTTGGTTCCTTGAAGGCCCTTCGTGGGCGCTGGGTGTGACCACATCCCTCAAGGTCCACTCCCCCGGCGGGGAGCCCCCCACGGCCCCTCGATCTTGGCCGCAGCCCCTCCGGCAGACGGACGCGGAAGGCTGCTGCCTGCACTCAGGCGGCCCCTTCCCTTCCGGGCCGGGGATGAACTTTCAGGCGCTCAGTGGCTGGACGGCAAGGCTATTTTTGGGCAGGAACGCACAGGAACGGAGTTCCAGCTGGCTCCCGAATTGGCCACGCCCAGCAGGAACTCATTAGCATAATAGGCGACACCCAACAGCAGAAACTCATTCGGATTGGCTACATTAGGGGGTGTGGCCTAACATGCAAAGGAGTTCCTGCTATAAAAAAGGCCCTGGGTTTTGACCACAAACAAGGTCAACAGAATAACAAGCAAAAGGTGGGTGTGGCTGGATGACTACACTTTTGGTAACATGGGGGTGCAGCCTAATGTGCTAATGACCTGTGCTGTCAGGGGTGTGGCCTAATATGCCAATGAGTTTCTGCTGTTGGGTGTGGCCAATTATTCTAATGAGTTCCTGCTGGGCCTTTTCTACAAAAAGAGCCCTGCTGGACAGCATCCTCCGTTGTGTTCCTGTCTGTCCGCTCTGCTCCTTCTCAGAGGCTTTGCGCCACTCGCCTCCGGGATGGGCCGTGACAGGAGAACCTCAGGCGAGCCCTGCTGGGTCAGGCCAGGGAGGGCCCCTCCAGTCCAGCCTCCTAGCCAAGCAGTTCCTCTGGAGGGCCAGCAACAGGGGAATGGAGGCCGAGGAGGCCTTCCCCTGATGCTGCCTCCTGGCTCTGGGATTCAGAGGTCGACTGCCTCTGAAGGTGGAGGGTCACCCTCAGTCACCGTGGCTGGTAGCCGTCGAGAGACCTATTTTAATCACTCTCTATGTAAAGTGGTACTTCCTCTTGTCCGTCTTGAACCTACTGCCCATCAGCTTTATTGGATGCCCTCGAGTTCTTCTGTTTTGGGAGAGGAGGACACTTTCTCTTTGTCACCCTGTCTGCATAATTTGATGTACCTCCGTCATCAGGTCTCCCCTTAGTTGTCTCTTTGCTGAACGGAAAGGTCCCGGACGCCTCAGCCTCCCTTCTCGACGAAGGGGCTCCAACCCCCTCCTCATCTTGGTTGCCCTCCTCTCTACTTTCCCCGGCTCTGCGGTGTGCTTTTGGAGGCAGTGTGGCCAGGACGGGAGATGGCATTCCAAATGAGGCCGCGCCATAGTGCTGGACGGGCAGGGGCATTGCGAAATCGGCCGTTTTATTCTCAGTCCCTTTCCTAAGAATCCCCGACACCGCGGCGTTTGCCCTTGTCACTCCTGCGGCACGCTGGGTTGACGCTTTCCATTGAGCAGTCCGCCACAACCCCCGAGCTCTCTTCTCCTCTCAGTTTCACCACGTTCAGACCCCATTCGCCCAGATCTGAAGTTGGGATTTCTCACCTTGCCCTTGGCAGCAGTGAGTTTCATTTGCCACATTTTGCCACCCACTCGCCCAATTTGGGGAGCCCTTCACAGTCAGCCTGGGTTTCCCCCATCCTGAATGGTTTTGTGTCATCTGCAAACTGGGCCAGTACACTGTTCACCCCTAGTCCCGTGTTGTGAGAAAATGTGTGTGGCTGCATGTGTCTGTGAATGCATCCACCCGTGCCACCCAGACTCCCCCTTCTGGTTCGTGTGTCCCCTGAGTGTTGCCTCCTTACCAAAGGCAGAGGTGTAAGCTTGGAAACCGCTAAGCGCTGGCAGAGACACTCAAAGGTCTCTTCTTAAAATAAGACTTATCTTTATTAAAAGAAAAACATTCAAAGATTTACCTGGCAAGGTGACCAGCAAGACGCTATGCCAGCTTGCCAACACAGTAGAATCCTATTTCCTAAATACTGATAGTAAATACACAGAAAAATAAACATGCAAGCAAAGTCCTCCCCAAAGCATGCAGAAAAACGAAAGGCCTCTCGGGCTGACTCCAAATTCTCAGGAGAATAAGCCTCTCCTGATCCTTCAAGAGCCAGCGAAAGTCTGTTGGAGCTGACCAGTATTTATACCAAATGATCAAAGAGGTCCCTCAATAATTAAATTACAGTTGTAAATTAACATTTTGGAGTTTACAGGAGATTGCTTCCTTGCGTCTCACACAACAAAAGTTCACATCTTACAGGATCAATCATCATTGTTTTCTTCTGGTGTTCCCACATGGGAAATAAACTGTCCTTTGGTGTTATCTCTGAGATAAAAGTGGGGAGTGTGAAATCTCTGTATCTCAGGAAGTTAGTTTGTCAGTGGATTGAAGTCTGTCACTCCTCAAATGGCCTTTCCAGTCAGCTGCAGTTTATGGCCTAGGAAATTGTGGGTCTCGCACCTGTTTACATTGATTCAGATCCTGGGAATGGAATGTGTGACCTCTTGGGTGCGTGACCAAGAAAGAGATTTGCTTGGAACAAAAGGGCTGGCAAAGAATAATGGTTTGGTTCACTGAAGCAGGCCAAGTGTTCTTGCTGTTTTGCTAGCCAAGACAGGGACAGATATATGGATTTTATAAACTATTTGGTTCATTTTTAAACCCAAACCTTCTATATTTCTAAAATTTCTTACCACATCCCAGATCTTTTATGAACAAAGTAAATAGCACCGGCCAATGTTCCCTCTAAGCTGAGTCAGTGCGAGCTAGCTCACAGTTTTTTAGCTTCTGGCTCACACATTTTTGTCTTAGCTCAGGAAGGAGGGCTCCAGAGCAAATTAATCTATGCGGTACCCAAATCGCTCGCTCACAACTTCAATGCCGGTAGCTCACAAAGTAGAATTTTTGCTCACAAGACTCTGCTGCTTAGAGGGAGCGTTGGCACCGGCCCCAACACCGATCCTCGTGGGACCCCACTGCTGACTTAACATGAAAACATGAGAGAAGGCCAAAGGCCCATCCAGTCCAACACTCTGTGTCACACAGTGGCCAGAAATACCAGGTGCCATCAGGAGGTCCACCAGTGGGGCCAGGACACCAGAAGCCCTCCCACTGTTGACCCCCCCAAGCACCAAGAAGACAAAATGGACTTCCCTCCATTGCAAGAACTGTCCATTGATCCCTGCTCTTTGCTTCCTGCCACTGAACCAGTTTTTAATCCATAAGAGAACCCGCCCTCTTCTCCCATGACTGCTAAGCTGACTCCGGAGTCTTGGGTGAGGGACCTCGCCAGAAGCCTCTTGAAATATAAGGCCTACCAGGTCACCGTTGTCTACGTGCTTGCCCACTTTCTCAAAGAACTCCCAAAAGGCGGGTGAGGCAGGGCTTCCCTCCGCAGGGTTTGTTCCTCTGTGTGCCTCTTGGGTTCGTGCCGTCAGGGCCTGGTGTTAGGCCTCGGCCCCCTCCTCACTTGGAAGGGCGAGCTTGGTACCTATAAACGGGTGAGGGCAAGCAGCCTCCCTTCCCTTAGTATCTCACAGGGTCACTCGTTCAAGACTCATCCCTGGTCTGCAGATAAGAGCTCAAAACAGGCCCTCCGGTCACATGGAATGTGTGCCATCAAATAGTGACCAGAGGCATGTCTGAAAAGCTGATCCCAAAGGTTCAAAGGTCTGGTTTTCGGCAGTTCCCTCTTTAAATCCATCGATGTCAAAGACTGATTTTCTCAGAAAAGGACAGTAAACCTAACCAACTCCCTACCTTGCCTGACCTTGCTCGAAAGCCAGCCGAATCTGACTCTAGGGTTGCGGTGCTCATCTCCGTTTCAAAGCTGAAGAGCCAGCGCTGTCCGAAGACGTTTCCATGGTCATGTGGCCGGCATGACTAAACACCAAGGCGCACGGAACGCTGTTCCCTTCCCACCGAAGTGGTCCCTATTTCTCTACTTGCAATTTCTTGCTTTCGAACTGCTAGGTTGGCAGGAGCTGGAACTAGAGACGGGAGCTCACTCCGTCATGCGGCACACTTGGGTCTCGAACTGCTGAACTACCGACCTTCCACAGCCTGCAGTTCAGCGTATAAACCACTTGAGCCACCGCAGCTCCTTTAGAGTTCCTTTAATTCCATTGTCAGCGAGTGGTCCAGCCGCTTCCCTAGCCAGTTTCCTGCTCCTAACGTACTTAACGAATTCTTGATTGTTGGTCGTTATACTTTTTTGCATCCCTGATTGTCTGCTTGCATTTCCGTTGTTCCCCGGGGGGGGGTCAACAGACAGGGGGGCACAGAGGACAAAGCCCTCTCCTGGTGTTCTCTCCTGGCACTGGTATTCAGAGGTCGACTGCCTGTGACTATGGAGGCTCTTTTGAGCCACCTTCTTTCGTAGCCACGGATGGACCTCGGTTCCATGAATCTGTGTGTCGCTCCCTTTTAAAGTTATCCATGCTTGTGGCCATCACTGCAATCCATTGGCACTGAATCCCGCAGTTGTAAGTACTCATTGAGTAGACACGTTACAGACCCCATCAGAATATATTCAAAGTTAGAATCCCGTTTTCTGTCTCAGCTCTCCCTGGCTCACCAACTGTTTGCTATGTTATGCTTGACCTTGTAGATTATCCAGCTGCAGTTTACGGCTTTTGCTTTGGCTGCTTGCTTTGCCCCCGCGCGCGAGATATATCCATTGGCTCCGGCTCATGCTTACCGGGGGGATGTTTGATTCTAGTATAAGTCACAGGCCCTCGTATTGGCGGCTATTCCCGACACAAGCTGTACACGTGTCTCTAGTACTAGATTTACCAATAAACAGTTATCGTCTCATGAAGCCCTGTGTTGCGTAACCTAAGGACCCTGACAATTAACATATAACATGATGATGTTTCAGTCATGCGAAGTCAAAAACTAAATAACAAGTTAAGGTTATAAGGTTAATTAGTTTTTCACTTTGCATAACCGAAACATCATCATGTAACATGTTACATCTCTATAAGTTTAGAACCTCATCTGCCATTCTAACGTATTTGAAGAAGTGTGCCTTTTGCACACGGACGCTCACACCTTGAATAAAACCTTTGTTGGTCTTAAAGGTGCCGCTGGACTCTAAATTTGTCCTACTGCTTCAGACCAACACGGCCGACAACCTGGATCTATCTTCACTGACACCGGGGTCACTCTCCTGTGGGACGCTTGGTAGAGGCAAAGGGACATCCACTATCTTGGAGGGGGGGGAAACCCATAATTTGATTGTGTGATGATTCGACAGAAGAGTGATTGGC